GTAGAATTTATGTCAGAATAAATGTCAGGACATAAGTCTCAGCATTTCTGTCCAAGGGTCAACGTTGTGGCGACATTGTGGTGGGGATCAGACGAAGTAAAGAAATTGGTTTGTGTCAAATTATGTCAAATTCAAAATATTGGAAGATGTTGACAATAAATATAGAAGATCGGCTAAGATAGGTAGAATTGCACAACGTAGAGTACCAGGTCATCATTCAATCATCCATCAGGGCACAGGAGCATTTCCGGTTGAAAAAATGTGTGAAAGAGGTCACATGAGGTCATTTGGTCATTTGGTTCATTTGAGATTTTTTGAGAACACATTGCAGCTAGACACAAACAAACCACACCGGCCAAGGCAAGTTCCATTCCTGGGGATCCTTCCAGCAATCGTACGAGCTGGCATCCCGGCATCCAATCCGATGTGCAACATGGAGGTTTAGGATGGTTTAGGATGGTTCACGGGCATCGGTGTATTCCCGAGCTTCAAGAGCAACTGGTTGGTTTTTCTGTCCAATACATGATGTTTGACTCCGTTTTGACTCCGTTTTGACTCCGTTTTGACTCCGTTTTGACTCCGTTTTGACTCCGTTTTGACTCCGTTTCTTCCTTCGGACATCCACTGGGAACGGTTTGAGGTTCCTAAGTACAGAGAATCCTCCCTAGCAGCGAGACCAGGTAGCAATTGGCGAAGACTTCGAACGAAGATGTCTTCACAATCACTTGCTGCATCAAATGCAAGCCATGAAGAATTACCGTTTTGATGCTTGCCTCAAGATTTGCCTTCGAATATATAATAGGATTTGCCATGATCGGGCTTGGTGTTTCCATGTTTCCAGCGCTGAAACTTTTGTCTCTGAGACTTGGGAAAGTTGCTTTGTTTGTTTTTTGCATGGAATTTGTTGAAAGATGTTGAAAGTATAAAGGGAGGCCGTCGTGCAGCATCATGCAGTGTTTGCAAGCACTGCTGATATCTGCTGATGCTGCATTTAATTGTCAATTGTCAGTTAATTGTCCTCAATGGTCGATTGCAAGGTCTGCGATTTTTGCAGATGCGACATTGCACAAGGACACCTGCGGGACACTCCATGGCAGGAAAACGGCTAAAAATGGCTGTGAGTACAGCCTTATCACTCTTTATATATCTTTATCATACCCACTGCAACGTCTAATATGTTCTTTCTGTCGATGCAAGGTAAGTGCAAGGAGATCATTCTTTCCAACCTTTTCACGTGTGGTTTCTTTGTGGTGAGTCAAGGATACAATGCTTAAATGGTTGGATGATGGTTGGATGCACTTATTTGTCAAAACTGAGCTGCAACAGTTGACCACTGAAATCACACCTTGAGGAGAGATGTTCTGGTCATGCCCCAGATGTGTGTGGGACGTTTGTCAGGCACTCTGACCAGTGTGATTAAGATCAAGGTGGTAAATGCAACGGTTGCAAGAGATACAACATATATGCACGTGCCTGTGACTAATTGTGACTAGAGTACATGCATGTCATATCATATATATTATCATATCTATATTATATATTATCTATACATGAGTAATCGACAAAATTAGCAGAAGACAAAAGTAATTGGAAGTGGACTTGGGATGTTCAATTGTTTGCCAAAGCCTTCACAACCGATAGGGGACCACCCATTTACCTATAATACGTATATATATATATATATACATACACCTATCTTTACACGCAAGATTCCCAACGATAGCGGACCGCCCCCTTTAGCCATGTGCTTTTCGAGGACAATATAGAGAAATCGTGTGCTGCGCTATATATGTGTATATTATATAGTTAGTTATATTATATATATATATATGTTATGATATGACTCAATGACGTTACGTAATTATATAAAATTATGAACAGGTTCAAATGTGTCCTGTCCTATGTCAGCATTCTGGTACGTAAATGTTATCGAATATAATTATAAAGTACGAGAACGGCTTCTGAATGACCAGCCGAGATTGTATCCGATAGTAATTACTGTAAACTGGCAGCGCTATCTAGGAGCTTTTCCAAGGCCCAAGGCCCAAAGTCATGCTTCTTGCTCAGGGATGCTACAACAGAGGGGCCAAGTTCAAACCAGGCGCATCTATATAAAACTGTCGAATCCGAAAGTTGCCAAGGTTCTTGCAATTGCTTGAGATGCAATGGACATGAGCGATGTTACAGACCAGGGTGGGCCACTGTATCATGTGTTCTGATTATATATGTTCACTGGATTCCTCAAGCGGCAGTCCAGCAAGGCATTCATTTTTGCACGGGGGGGTGCTGCCGTTTATAGTTTTGCATCGAGTTGGGTTCCCAGTAGTGGGATTGGAGGTCTGTTGCCACTGTGCAACTGATCTCATTTGACGCACAGATGTGCAAGAAACTGCATGAAGAATATGAAGATGTCCTTCGCATGCTGATATTCTGAAATTTTCTGCAGATCTGCGAAACTGCTGTGACCCATGGCAGGTTGCAAGATGGAACTAGTGGCTGCTCTGGAGCTTCCTCTGGGAAGCAGATTTCCACGTGGCACCACTGGAATGATCCAGGCGGGGATGTTGCCAGGATTCCCACCGTAGCTGCAGGAAAATGTTGAGTTTTGACATTCCTTGAAACATTCGAAACATTTTGAAACCTCTTTACATCTCTTTACATCTCTTTACATCTCTTTACATCTCTTTACATCTCTTTACTATTTTACTGATTTTTACTGTAGTTCGCTTGAGTTTCAAGGATTTGCATGCGTTTGGCAGAATAAGTGTACCAAGCGTGTCGCATGGCGTTTTGCCGACAGCTTGCGCTGAGCGACCCTCAGGATGTAGTCAACGATGCAGACGGAAAACACACACAGTTGCATGTGCTGCTGAACGTTCCCCAGCGAGGGCAAGAACCAGAGTCCATAATATTGCATCCAGAGGACGTAACGTCAAACAGAAAGACAGTTGCGCTGCATCACCACAGTCACCACATGCAGACTCAGGGGCTCATATTTCCCCTTGAGCAGGTCAGCATCTATTCAAATCAATTGGCACTTCATTGGTGCAGAGGGCATGACATCAGCCAAAGATAATCACCACAACCACAACACGCAGGCTCAATGCTAGGAATCTATTCCAAAATCACACACTGTAAGACACGCAGTCGAACCATGTGGAGCCTTCCAGATTCGGACGGCTATCACTGGATCAAAAGGGCCTGGATTCTGGATAGAATTTGAACCTTTAGGGCTTTAGGGTGGTTCTCCCCAGCTGTACTGGTCGCTGCAGTGTGGTGGGATCGCAGGACTTTCGAAAGATCAAAGTGCTGGATTCTGAAGAGTACAACTTCAGGCCAGGTTGACTCGTTGCGTATCGTTGCGATTCATCATATTCGACCCAAATGGGTGGTAGATTTGCTACAATCGAATGCCGGTCCTACTGGAACTGGTAGCGTTTTTGCCCACAGGATGGTCACTTCAAAGATCTGCACTTGCAAGCATTGGAAGATATTGGAAGTGTTAGTGGAACTGTTTGCTTCATTATTTGCTTCTTCATGCTTCTTCTATATAGCCCCTGCCAAAGACAAGCTTTACACCAGGATGGTGGTCGGTGTTGCGTTGATCACTGCCTTGTTCCTGCAACTTCAGAAGCATCAAGCCTGGCCAGCGAGCCTCTGAAAGTTGATCAAGGATGATCAAGGATTGTCCTCATCAGCATGTGATTGCGTTTTGCCCTGTTGTGAAATGTTGTGAAATACGTGAAATGGTGTGAAATAGTTTGAAATGTTGATAATGTTGTGAATGTTCTTTGCATTTCAAGAGGAACAACGGATCATTGAAAACACTGTTCTTTTATGATCTGATCTTTGAAACAAGCAATATGTGCCCAACGGCTCGTACCACTCTTGTGTTCAGTGGAGATGGTCTAGGGCATGGCAGCGTTCACGTACGGTCTCCGAGGTATGGTATCTTAGATCATCGGCACATCAGTATCATACTGAAGCGCTCCTTGGCAGAATTGCGGCGTTTGCGAAAACTGCGCCGCATGATGAAGATGAAGAGACCTGGTTTGTGGAATAAATGAATAAGTGGATATAAGTGGCAATATGTGGCAATGGTTTTGTGAACCGATGGCAATGGCAGCCTTGCCTGCCCAAGCTGTGCGTCCGTTTACGATTTCTGTCATGTTGCTTCAACCAAGCAAGATTGATTTCTTCGAGACCTGTGATGACCGTCAAACTCTTGCAGCAAAGCAGATCTGTAGGAAAATGCGGTTTTCAATTCCATTTCGGCCATTGACACCACTTGCCCTATTCAACATGATTTCCAGCAGCTCAAGTCATTAGCAGAGACAGTTTGATGTGCCTGGAGCCATGGGTACAAATGTCATGGAGGCATTGATGATTTGAACCTGGTAAGCTGTACAACCTCGTCCTCAGCCATTGTTCGATAGGGTTAAGCTCAGAATCGGAGAAGATCTATTCATTTAATTTATGATCATTTATGCGTTCCGTTCAAGCCCAAGACCTCCACAGCGTTGACAAATGTTGACAAACGTTGACAAACTTTCACAACAATCGAGGCTTCGTCGGGTGGTGCCGAACATTGGGCATATGGGCCGCGATGATGCTATTCCTCGTCTCTTCCATTCTCCCAGCTCCTCAGCAGCTCCAAACCGAAATATGTTGTGAATGTCCTGTGATTCTTCGTGAATGTTTGGTTTGTTCTTTCTTGGCCTCTTCTTGGCCTTGATTCTTCTGGTAAGCCATGATAAGCCTCAAATTTGCCCTGGCAAAATGGAGCAAGGCTAGCTGGCGCAGGTTTAAAGAACCTGCAGTTTTCTTTTGGAGCACAAACATTATGTGCTCGCAGACTGGCACAGACTCATGTCATCTCATGACCCTTGGTTCCCTGCACTAGTGCCATCCAGAGCTTTTACAGTGGTATATCTGCAACATTTTGCAACATTGCAACATCCAAGATATCCAAGGTGATAATGCTTCCAGTTTTTCCAATCATGGCGCTTTCGGGTCCACTCTTCACAGAGATGAATGACGGAGAGGTACAGCGACACGGTGCAGCCAGTGTTGTTTTGACTAAATCTCCAACACCACTTGCATCCGCTTTCTAAGATAAATGATCAAAGTAAGACTGCGCAGCGCTGCAAGGATTCCATAGTTGTGTTTGCTCTTCCTGGTCCTTCCACGGCCCCGACATCTTCCCCAGTGCACCATCAAGCTCCATTCAAAAAGCACACCTCGATTTCAGAAACCCCAACTGTCATCAACTGTCCAAAGCTCCATGACTGGAGTCACTGTGGGAGTCCGTGGAACGTCTGTCTGTATGTTTCTTACATGTCAAAAAAAACATTACAGCTGTACTGTACAGGCTAAGTTACAGGTGTTTCACGAATTTTCACGATGTCGCAGATTCCAGGCCTTTTTGGGAGGCAGTATTGCCTTCCTGGTCGTCTTCGGCGGCTTATGGGTGGGAAGTGCCTTGGCTGGATCTGCAAACTGAAATACTCAGTTACTTAATGTTGCTTAGCATTAATGGTGGGAAAGTTGCCAGTATTTCAAGTTCAACTAGCCTCGAAGATGGTCAGCAAATGCACACATTGGGTTCACGTCTTCAACGATGCCATGAGGCGTCTTGGCATTTGCTTTGGGAAAACTTTGCTGCATGATTATGCCAGAAGAGCAAGCACCTTGGCAGACCTTGGCGTTGCAGGCCTGTTGACATGATTTACATTTATATACAGTACATACATTTAAATTCATGTACTTTCATTTACTATAATATTATATTCATAATGTGTTCTGATATGTTTTTATATTAATTTACCCTTCTTTAATCTTCTTGAACTGGAGTTGGTGAAGGCTGGTCAGAGTGACATTTGCAGGCTTTGATATAGTATCATGCAGTACCCGACCTGGCAGGTATTATTGACCTGGTCTTCAGATTTGTTCTCTAGACGTCGAGAAATCACCACGCAACAGCAAACGCAGTGCAGCTGATGTTGTATTTTAATGTATTTTGTCTCTGTCTCTTGTAGGTCCTAGGTTTCACTTTCGTGCACC